GGGCCTTTCATCCTAAGAAAGGCTGAAGCTACAGTTGATGATACTATGATTATGAACATTTTCTTCATTCTATGTTTTAGTTTAGCATCTTCCAAACACAATGTTATGAAAATCTTGTCACAAAATGTATGTCTAAAATCCTATATTGTATTGCCAGAGAGAGGCTCAGTCCCAGTAAACAGGGAATGTCAGCATCTCTTCCCAACCAAGATCACATCAAGGCTGACAACATGGAAGTCCATCACCTATGATGACTACATCGTGAGTAAAAAGAAAAATTGTAAATGTGCTGACATGACTGTAAATGTAAAAATTAGATACATGTAATTTCTTGGGTTTAAGCTGTCATTATTCTTGAAACAAAATGATAAGAATATCATATACACTTAAATGTTTTTATCTGATGGGTATGAAATAATGTCCTATGTGACAAAACAGCCTAAAAAATGCTGTAAGACTTAAACATCCTAGCATCATAAACTGTTGAGTCACCAGTTGCTTTTTTGTTTGTTTCCCAGGTCCTCCCTTACAGCCAGCCTGTTGTAAACTCAGGAATGGTCCATGAAACCGACAACTTCTACCTTGCAGTGGTGCAGCGTGGTTCAGGTAGGGGCAGAAATACAGTGCTTATTTGTGGTAAAATGTATACCTCTTTGCTCATATTAAGTTTTAGAAGATGAACAATGTATTGGATTGTTGCTTGATTGAGCACATTACTGATTGTACCTTTTGTTCTCACAGCCACCCTGACAGCAGCTGTCCTGTTGAGCCCCGGCTACCTGACCTGTCCTCCTGTCTTCAGCCTCAATCTCAACATGGGCACAGACCGAACAGCCAGCTGTGATGAAAACATCAGGGTGAGACCTTGGAGGCATCATACCAGTGTTTTCAGGATGTCTTCTTTTTTTCTGTGCCTTTTTATGGTTTTGTGTTCAAAGATTTGTGTCAACTCAATTGCATGGCTGGTAAGCATGAAAACACCAGGGTGAGACCTTGGAGACATCATACCAGTGTTTTCAGGATGTCTCCCTTTTCTGTGTTTTTGTCTGGTATTGGACCTTTACATGTACATAATGTACCTTTACCTTAGCACAAAGGCATTAACATTTTTAATTTGCAGGCCATGGAGCATGAGGTCAACGTCCATTACAAAGAACTACTGGTGAAGGGGTCACATGACCAACTGCTGACCAATCAGCTGCAACGATTGCTGATGTGCCTGGATGTGTACCTGGAGACTCAGAGTACCAGCAGTGCGACAGAGGGACCTTCGGAGTTCGGGCGAGAAAAGATTTGTCCACGAGTAGTTAGGTAAAGGCCCAGTCACACAACATTGCGTACGATCATCATACAATCGCAAACTGGGAGTATTTTCTGCATAGCCGTATGTGTCATACAGTATTATCTGTCTTTTTATGGAAGAAGCTATCATAGATTATTATCAACAGTTACATTATACTTCTGTCACTGCCTGGTTGAAAAGTCTATGGTATCAAAATCATCTTTTTCAATCTCGCATGCTTTCTTTCTGTTCCAGGGGTCCCAGTCGATGTAAACCGTTTGTCTTCAACAGCCAACACGGGTTCTTCACTCAACGTTGAGCAATGCTCGCTCGATCAACAGTAGTGACCAAAAATTATGCTTCTCCCATTGACAAGCAAATGAGCACTTAGTAATTAGAACTTTCAAGACTTTGGGGATAGTATTACATGTACTTCATGGGATCATTTTCTATGTGCTTATATTTTGATCATTGCTGATTATGTAATTGAAGGGTTAGTGAATTTTTTTATTTTTCACAAAAAGTTTTGAATAACTTGAAACATTTCTGTAAGAAAAGGCAGTATCATGATAATATGGGCATTTCAGATCAGATCTTGTTCTTTGTTTGACCTGAAAACAAAATATATGTCAGTGTCAACAGAAGTTGCAATGGTTTGATTTGTACATCTACACACATGTATTACCATAAGATAGATGTAACATTTTCTGCTGTCTGGGGTATTACACTCATTATTTCTCTAACTAGAGCTTTTGCCTTCTTTAAATGTGGTGTAGTAGTTAGTAGTCCTACTTCTCACCTGTGGTGCATGACTAATTTGGACATATGACTCAGGATACAAGTTCCCTTCTGGAATTTTTTTTATTATTCTCTGTCATTTCTTGCATAACTGACATCACAAGCATGGTCTGGCAGAACTAAACTGTGTAGTACAGATATCCAATATACATTTAATGTAAACATTAGTGACCTTCATACACATTTGGAACACTAGGTCCAGCAATGATGTTTGTTAGTTGGTAGTATGAAAATAAAAACTTAATTTTGGTGACGGCTCTATGACTGGGCATTTTTTTTGGAGGCTTTTAAAAACTTTTTTTTACGTATCACTTCTATTTGTATTCTGGTTCTTGTATTGGCCCAGCTTAGGGCCTTCTCTTCTTTGGTTCTAGATTTCTACTAATTTTCTAGCCCTACTACTATCTAAAAAAAAACATTGTGCAGTTTTCCCCTGAATGGTGTCATTATCTGTCCTGTGTCTGCTCCGAGTACCAACATGCCATGCATTCACCCATTTTGGATAGGGCCTGTGGCATAGGGTACGCTAAAGTTTGTGTTCCCCAGATGCAAGTTGCAGCATAATTACCAGCATTGTTTGGGTCCCATTCTGTATGTCTGCTTGTGTTAGACTTAGAGGTATTTTGAGTGCAGTAAAATGGCAGGAGGAGGGGGTGGATTTGGTTAATGCAGATTGACATGAAGGTCAAGTTGGAAGAAAGTGATGGCTTCATCACCGAGGCAAATCACCCACTTTGGGCATGTCACAACAAGGTTTCTGTCTTACTGCCTGTTAAAAGTTACTCAGACCATGGTTGTGCCAATAAATTCACAAAAACTACTTCCCAGAGGTTTGAAATTTCCAAATGGGGGTAAGTTGTACATGTGGTACCGTCTTCAATTGACAGAAAGGCTCAGTAAACCAGTCATGGCAAGACAGATGACAACGTACAAAAAAAAAAACAGTTAAGCAGATTATAATCCTGCAACTTGCCCCTGGGAAGCACCAGGCTACTGTACTGTACTGTCACTGCAGGTAATGTCTGTCTTAGTGTCCATTAAATGGTGTAGTCTGTGCCGGATGGTTGGTGTGGAGTGGGGAGATGGCTAGAAAGTCCGATGTGCTGGGTGCCATCCATGTTCCTATAGAAAGAAAGTATATTTTGACATATTTACTTGAAAAGCTGTGCTCAAAGGCAAATTGCAAGGTTCAACTGTACATAAGTTAGCTATATGCATGTCTTTAGGTTAAGTGCTAGAATCCTCAGAACAGAGTACAACTCTTACCTGAAGGTTCCTGTCATGTCAGACTCTGCTCCGTGCTTTATTAGCCCACAAATCTTCCAAACGTTGGTGCACAGCCTGTGTGAAAAGATGTGATAGTTTCAAAAGGGATTGATGTGATGGAGGGAAACATCCGAGCAACTAGCTCGTCAAGATGATGATGACGATGATTTTGTGTAAATTGTAAGTTAAACCTATTGAGTATTACGTTTGTATTATACTCCGTAGCCGACCGATGATGATGATGATGAGTATTATACTACTTCCTGAATTCCTCCACACACTACCAACTTACCCCCACCTGGCACGTATTGGGTCACCTTCAGCCGTGACGTCCCTATCAATCAACTGTCAAAATCACCTCCCACCCACCACGCAACCGATGCTATTAGGACAGGCAGAGAAAGTCACTATACTTCCATACAAATTACAATGTCCCTACCTCTCTGAGAGAAGAGTCCGAGTCTCTCACACAAGATGGGGTACTGTTTACAGATACGGCCGGGCATGATGCAGGCTGTCCTGGGGGGCACAGTGGCTGGTTGCTGCCGGATGTACACTTTGTGTCGAGCAGAGACGTCTGACTACAAACAGGGAAGACAAGACAACAATAGGCAGACGTCAAGGCGCAACAACCTTCTGTCAACCGGAACGGTGGGCGA